CGACACTGCAGCATAGACCACAAACACAGGTCTTACTTCAAGAGCCTCTGAACATCGCTGGTTGGGTCAAGCCCAGTGCCAGGACGCACACACGCTTCAGACATTTTGATTTATTTGTTTTCTAAGTTTCATAAGACATTTTATTGACAGCCTGAGATAATGTCACATTTCAAAATAAGAGAGGGTCCAGTGTAGTGGCTCTGATCCAAGAATCACTGATCACTCAATAATCACAGCAGGTTGAGAAAAGTGCGACTGGACTGCAGAGAATACAGAGAGACACAACCACCCCACTCCTGTAGACTCCATGTGAAGAAAGCGAGTCATACGGCTAACTAACAAGACCTTGTTGAAGTATATGAAAAGAGACGAGCCATGCACTGCATTGCAGATCTAATCTGTCTGTTTCCCACTCCTGTTACAGAACAACTCTAAACTGAGCCCCTACAACTCACACTGATTTACTAAATGTAGTCTCTCATCCTATTAACAGATTAAAAGTTACTGCAACTAACACACACACATGACCATGCATGTGCACACACACACACACACACACACACACACACACACACACACACACACACACACACACACACTTGACAAGCAATCAAGCCTGGCATTTCAAAGGAGAGCAAAAGATATTTAAGTGAGGCTGATGATTTAGTCCAAAGGATTCACCGTCAGGAGTAGTTAATGCAGGTTTGTTTGATTTTAACCCCTTCAAAAAAACAAAAAAAACTAATAATTCTATATTGTTAATAAGATATGGTTTTACATTCCGACAGAATACTTAGGGTTTAGTTTAGCTGCTTTTTCTCAATGTCTGCCCAAGTTTGTGTCTTCTCTCAGTGTGGTATCATGAGGCTTTTGCAGAGGACAGATGTCTTTTCAATCAAGCTGTACAATAGAAGACTGACAGTTCTCATCTTCAGTCAGACATCAATATGAAGCCTTCAGTGAACTGACTGGACAGTGGACACGTCACTCACTAGGCTGTCATATGTGTTTGCTTCAGATTTCAAACTGGAAGGACATGGCAGCTGTTCTTGAAATGTCAAATTTCTACCACCAGCTATTCATCACAATACGTTTCTGAATGAAATTGAGACAGAAAATATCATTCACAGGTTTAAAACATTTTGAATGATTTTGAGTTATTACATCATCTAAACTCTCTCCGTAGATCTGTGATTGGTCAGAAATCTATCAACTGGGCTCAACAGATTCTCATTAGGCTTGAATCTTGTGAAAACTGAGGTTACAAGATATAGTCTGCTTTGTGACGCTATACTTTAACACTTTAATTATGAAATTGTTCAGGTAACATCTGAAATGGCTTTAGAAACAAGGTTAGGACTGTTTAGAGCCATGGCAACGAAGGCAATAAGAGAAATCCAAGAATCAGGGTTTTAAGAGTGTAAGAAACAAGAAAGGCAAAAGTTATGGTGACTGAAGCGGCTACAGGTACAGTAAATTAGTAAATTATTTTAATTATCAATAATTTCTCTATTCATATATTGGTCCATAAAATGTGGTGAAAAAAAATGTTGATAATTATTTCCTAGAGCCCGTATTCAAATGTCTTGTTTTGTACCAAAAAAAACAAAGAAATTCAGGTTACAGTCATATAGGACTGAAGATAAAATTCACATCATTTTATTAGCTGCAGTTTTGTCCTACTTGTGCCTCTCAAAATCTCTTATTAGCTTCAAAATGTGTATGTTTTATTTGTTGTTTTTTTCAGAATATCAGGACTTCAGTATTTGAAAATGAGAAAATATTTTATGTGAGTAATTGCATTCTGGATTTATGATTGATTATGCCTGTGTAGAATTTAGATCCCTGAAGATCAGGATCACAGCCAAAAACATGTCTAGTTACATATTATATGACGTCAGCTGTTAATAAGTTGATTGACAATGTGATGGACCAGTTGCTTTGTGTTAGGGCTGCACAGTATGGTAAAAGTACTACTAATAATAATAATATTGTGATTCTTTTGACATTTATTACAATTGCGATAGTATACTGGGTTAGTGGGAATGGTCACTTTTGGATTTTATTTTCACAAAATCCTGATGATGTAACATGTGTTAGGGTCTGTATCAAACTTTCTTACATCTGGAAAACAAGATTTATATGCCAGGGGAATCTCTGCAGCACTACAGTACTTCATTATAACGCTTTTTTGTCACATATTTTACCTTTATCAGAAATTCCAGCTTCTGTGATTTGTGATTCACTCTGCCATTTTGCGATTTTTATCATATTTTGATTAATTGTGCCGCCCTATTTAGTGTGCAAGCCTAATTTAAACAGTGGGCAGACTGATAAGTTTAAGAGAAATTCAATTTAATTTCCAGGTTCACAGCAATTTACATACTGTAAAACTGAATCAAACACTTACTTGGGCAAAAATAAATGTACATTCAATTCAGCAGCCTGCCCAAATATAATCAGTATATGGAAATCCTGTATTTCAATGTAACCTCCTAATATACCTAAACATACCATATGCAGTCAGAGAACAATATATTGTACAATGTTCAATGAAAGGAATTCTCCATAAACACACAGGTTGTGTGAGAAGCTACAAACGTCAAAGCCCCCTGGAGGGGGAACTGGAACGCAGCTTAGACAGAAAGGAACAAAATGATGTTGTTCAGGACCACAGATAAACTACCACAGTGTTTGGTGGCGCCGGCTGCTCAGGATACCCTGATAAAAGTGATCTATAGCTTCAGGCATTAAACAAATAAATAAAGTCAGCAGTGCTGATGTGAGGTCACTTTGCCTTTAAGTCATAGCAGAGTCCAATATATTAAAAACAGCTTGATCCTTTTGGTTCCTGTGTGTCTGATACTCTATCAGGCTGGTGTGGATATAGTTGGGTATCTGGCCAATCAAACAGTACAATGCCTCGTTTACAGGATGCAATCCTATCATTTGTATCAGAAGTGAATCCTTTTTAGCTCAAGTGCCACTGGGAGTGTGTATTGTGTCCAATTCCTCCAGCAATCAGGAGATGTATTTTCCTCTGTCCCATCTGCATGCCTAGAACCATTAACACAGACGGTCTGATATGATCGCAACTGAGGAGGCCAGATTCTTTCATACAGTATCACTCCACAGACTCTCAAGTTAAAAGCGGGTGTGGTCTCTACCACAGAAATTAGGTTTGGTCCATTAAGTGCTGAGACTTAGTTAACTGATTATAGATTTTCAAAGCTAATGAGATAAAATATATAAAATAAAAAAATATATAAATATATGTTTCTACTTACTTGCTATCAACACTCACACTAAAATGAGAGGGTTTTTTGCTAATTGTTGTATTTATGTCTACAATAACAGCAGCATAGATTATTAGATTGGTGCATTATTTATTTGCAGCAACAGTGAATCTGACAAACAGATGACATTATTCCTCATATATGTATAGCCAATTATTGTATTCAAGAGGGTTTTAAAGTCCAACTGGCACCATTAACAGTATGCTGAATAAGTTATTAGCAGCTCCTGTTTCCAAAGTACCCCTGGATGTTCAGACAACTATCACAGGACTACTTTGATACTGCAGAAAACTTCAAAAGGTTTGGAGATAACAGGAGTGTCTTTTTCTATGCCTACAAAGTAGATTTATGGACCTGTATTTACAGAGATAATGATATCCTCTGGGGGTGTACGTCACACTGAATCTAAATGTGTATCATGTCTGTGTGTTCAGATTTGACTGAATTACGACTTTAAAAAAGGAGATGGATTTTGACACAAATGGCAGCTCACGTCTTAAGTCTCTCCCTCTGCCCCCTCTCCCCCTGGGGCAGTGCACGTCACAAACCTCCTTTGTGTTTCATTTTACCAACTTTATCTGTATTTTCTTACACTATTTAACGTGACAAACTCAATTTACTGGACCATTAAACTCATTTACAAAATATGAATCTCAGTTGTCACTGGAAGCGAGTGTTTAGCTTCTATGTGGTGCTCTCTAAGCTGCACTCTGTGAAGGGATGCATTAAAATGCACCACGGGTACATTTTATCATACATACTTGTCAGGACAGCATGTCAGGGGCTATTTCCTCTTGGTAGCATGTGACAGGGCATCAAGCACTGTCAGCAGTTCAGACCAATGATAGATGGCATACAGGCATTAAACTATAGAGCCTATGGTGTGCCAACCCCAACACGCATGCACATACACACTGACACACACATTTGAAGGTCTAGTTTGTTTTTTATGTTTGAAAGGAGACGACGAGGCAGCAGAGCTTACTGACCTCATCCTCTAACAGGACCATTAGGGCATCCACTAGAGTCCCACAGCCAGTGAACCAGGACGTAAAACCATACAACGAGCCATAATCTGATACAGCAGATGACCAAACCACTCTCGACAATACAGAGTGCCTCTGTAAACCGCTTTCTGTTTACAAACTAGACTGGATTTGTATGTCATCATTTTTGTACATTTAATACCACTTTCTAATGACCCGCCTTTAAAGTGTTTAGGTCCAGCCAATACACTTATAATCCATTTACATGAATGAATGTAATGATTCATATTGGCTATTGTTTAACCGTTTCTGTACTACTTTCTGACATGGTTAATAAGTCATTTACCAAGGATTTATTTATTAATAGATCAGCTATAAGCTATTGATAAGAACATTGTCAGGGTTGTCAGGTTAGTATGCAGAGCCCCCTGGAGCAAACAGCATTTATTGATAACTTATGAGCATTTGCAGCTGCAGACTGGGTGGATTTCTGGAACAAAACCAGCTGAAGAGATTTTTCACAACCGAGCAACCCAAAACCCATCCTTAAAAATAGCCTATAACTGCTCTCTCAGTTACAGTTTATAAACCCTTTATAAAGGGTGCCTTAAAGCAAAGTGGTGAGTATAAGACAACACTTTTCATTAATTTGTGTTGTATTAACTTTCAAAAATTAATAAAAACTACAAATGACTCAAAACATGTGTACATAACTTACCATATTGACTTCTGACACCATGTCTATACTGGCCACGTCTATACTCATGCCAACAGCAACCGGTGGACCTTGAGACACAGAATAAAGTTGACTATAGTCAAACAGCAGGGTAAAGACACATAGCGGGGAGCCATTAGGGAGAAAAACACACCAAATGAGCGACCCCAGACATACCTCCAAAGTCTGGCCGAAGACGAATATCATATCCTTTCAACAGTTTATCCACAGTCTCTTTGACGTAAGACATGTTCCCAGGTTCGTTGACGCTGAAAGACAGAAGAGAAGAAAGACGGTAACTCCTGTAAAAGACGGACATCCTCACCTGTGTCCGGTTTCTGCCCCCAGACACTCACCTCTGGGCACAGCACATCACTGCCACGACCAGCGGCAATGAAAGAATGTCAAAGAGCCCTGTTTTCTGGGGTCCCCACATCCCTCGTGTGGTGCCTGGATGGATGGGTGCTGTCCAGCGTTCAACAAATGACTGAATGAAGAAGCCACGGTGCTCACACTCCCGCCGAGCTCCGTTAAATCAGGTGAGACTTCTTCCACATGGTGTGTAGCTCTGGCGCAGCCTGTGTTAACATGCTTCATGAGGCACAGGCGCGTTGACTTGGATGTCAGACGTGTCCACCCGGCAGCCGTAGAGCCTCACACGGGCTGCTCCGTGTCTCCATCCTCCGGTTAGCAGGGTTCAGCTTTAAGCGGGTGAGTTAGCTCACAGGTGCGCTACTAAATGTGTGTCAAATATCCACTATGGCACTTCCGCTGTCCGAGGGGTCCGCATGCGTAAAATACACGTATATGTGGTCGCCCGGGTTCACAATAACCCCTCACAGAGTGTGTTCATACTGAAACCAACTCCAGTTTGGATTATGACTCTTCGTGTCAGTGTGCGCGAGGATGCCCTGGTAATCATTAAAGCCCACGTGACGGACAGAGCTATTGAAGCTCATTTAAGAGGCTGTCCGGCAGTGAGAGTCTCAGACAGGGCAGGAGTTCAATTATGTTAAGATGCTGAGGGGTGGGGTGAGGTAGGAGCCCTTTTCTGAAACTGTTCCAGGAGTGATACGGTGTGTGTGTGTGTGTGTGTGTGTGCGCCATAACACCTCCATGTTTTATTTTTGTCACAGCAGAGGGACGCTCAAGCAGCCCAAGTGTCTCTTGTCAACCCACGAGCCTCTCTGGTTGATTCTGGTTGTCTGGTTAGCTAAAAAAAACGCCCCCCTGTGAGTTGTTCCCACTGTGGTGTGACAAAGAGTGGGCAAAACTGAAGCATGGGTGCAACCGATGAATTTCTTAAAGTGACACTGTGTAACTTTTTAAAGAAGAAATTCCTCCACGCATTCTTCCTCTTACAAATAAAAAAAATTGTTAGCAATAAAACACACCTTTGCTCAGTTGTGTCTTGCTGTCAGAGCCTTATTTGGTCTGTTATGACCAGTATGGTGGCTAATATTAGCTTCAGACCATTGACAGTATATACTGTAATTAGGGTGCTGGCTACTGTCAGACTATGCAAACTAAAGCATTAAGCCTACCATTAGCTTAGCATTAGTCTAGCACAGCAGCCGTTCAGCAAAAATGACATAGGCTCACTTTAAATCAATAGTTTAAGACATTCAGCTTGCCCAGCTATGATGGATAGAGATACAGAGAAATCTTCTGGCTACCTAAATGTTTTCAGGTTTGAGAAATGGATCAGTGGAAGATTGGCAAAATGGGTTTTGGAGGGGTATGTAGGCTGTTCTGTGGAGTTGCTATAATCTAATCCTGATATCTTTGCAAGTTTATTCTCAGTTCTTGGCAGCGGGAGTGAGGAAGGTCTGGTGTTGTTCCTGTGAAGATTTCAGTAGAATGCATACTTTCTCTCTGAGCTTTCTTTTTTTCTTTTTTTTGCTTGCAACAGTATTTAGTGGATGAAGTTCAATATTACTGCAGGGAGTTATTGAGCTTGAACCGGACTCTTCTCCTTCCTTGTATTCAAGAGATAGACTCTGGTTTCTATACATTTCAGAATTAACACTATACTACTTTTCACATAACTTTTAACAGAGTGATTCTTACCTCGTATCATAGATGGCGTACAGCTTTTTGTTCCCGTCAACAGCATTCCTGCAAATACAAAAGAAGGAGGAATTACGTTCTGTGTCAACACACACACTTTGAATCCACAATGTCGGGAAAACAAGTACCAGGAGGCTTTCTCCTTAAGTCCAAATTCATAAAGGTGCTGCAGTTTCACAAACTCCTACACTTGGTTTGTATCTTTTAAAATTGAAAAGAAATCCACCTAACTGACTCAGTTGGGAATGAGTTGACCCTAATCCTGGTGGAGATAAATGCAAGAATGATGAAATATACTGTACAGTCATTTGTTCTGCTGGCAGTTGTGTGACATATTGTCTCCTCCTGCTATCTGGACCATTAACCAAAAAAATCAGGACTCTGTTTTTTCAGGTTTGTGTCCCATTTAAGTCAGCACGACAATAGGCTGCACTATCGGAAGCAGAATACAAATGGATGAAGTTTATATGAAGTAGTTTTACTAAAAGGAAACCCAACACTGGTGATTCACCACTAGAACAAATCTTTTCTCTCACAATAGAGATGATCAAACCTGAAATAAGGATATGTCCCAATAACAATCCAATACCAGTGTTATGTTGCCTCACTGTAGGGAACTCATTGCAATCATTGGTAATATGAGGCTGTAACTGTTATCATTTATTAACTACAAGTGGAAACGTTCAAAGATCATCTTTTTTTAAAGTTTCTACATGTTTATTGTTTTTGACAGTTTTAGAAATTGTATTGATACAATGCAAAAGTTAACTCATATAAGAGTTCAGTGTTTACCATATTGAATAGGGGTGTATAAAAAGACGAGCGATAGACTTGAGTATTGTGACCATTGACAGTATATAACGTGTCATTTTGTGACATTGTATCAGTTCTCAAAAACACTGAACCACTACAGTAGTGTTTAACTGAGGGCTATGATGTTGGATGTTACCGGGACTGATAAATACAAATGCTGATCCCACTATTCTGGTTTCATAAAAAAGGTTGGTGTGTTCTTTATACTACGACAGTTTTCCTAAACTTAGATAGAAACAATGTCACATATCGCCATGCTTATAGTATCACAATATATTGAATTGTAACCCCTCTATTGATACATATTATATCGCCAGATTCTTAATATCGTGACCTTAGGGCTGACATACCACTCAACTTGTCTAACAAACACAGCTCATGGAGTAGACGCTCACTACAGAAAATGAATGAGTGTAACAGTAACATTAATATTTACTGTAATGGGGATACATACGCATTCTGCTTAACACATTTCCCCCTGGGGATCAATAAAGTATTTCTGATTCTGATTCTGATTAATAAGGAACTGGGCAGATGACGATCCAACAGACTGGATCAGAGCACAAATGGCTCAGTTTAACCACTTAAACATTGTAGTGAGTATTGTTTCATGCAATATAAGCCTCTAGAAGATCACTGAAGCTTTTAAGCAGGAATGTAAAGATATAATGCGAGACAGGTCAATTGCGATACAAATACGTGAGATTCAATGAAACTGAAATGAAAATAAATTAAACAGCAGGGGGTGCTATTTACTTATGACTTGATACTTTATACTAAGAAATAAAAACAGATTCTGTCATTTCTATAAATAAAATATGAGAGAAAATAATGTGATTTAGATGTAGATTTCTGTCTGAGAAATAAAGGAATCTCATTTTGGAGAATAATCGTGAGATAATCGTGGTGAGCTCAGTATCGTGAATCGAGCTGAGTGTATCATTGCATCCCTACTTTTAATAGGTTTATGTTGTTGTGGAGATCCCTCTTATGGTTGTCACTGTTACTACTGATACTTTATCCTTTTATTCTCTCCTCCTCTCTCTCTCTCTCTCTCTCTCTCTCTCTCTCTGCCATGTTGTCACCCCCTCCCCTATCTGTCTCCCCATCTCTCTACAGCCTCTCTCCTCCACTCACTGCCCATACTGTATTATCCTCGTTGCTTTCTGATTGTGCTGCCTCTGGATACACTGTTGGATTTTTTCTGCTAAGCTTGCCGTGTGCCGGCGGCTCCTCGGGGACCAAACTAAAGGATGGTCAGTCAGCAGAAGTGTTGGGAAGCCTTTCTTATTCCGCTGCCAACCTTTTAATCGCTCTGGGGAGAAATAAACCTCGCTGACAGTGAAATTAGTTCACATCTTCATTTCCTTTTTTTTCTTCTTCTCTTTCTGCTCTTTCTCCCTTCTCCAATATGCAATCACTGTGCGCGGATGGAGGTGACGTTCTTCAAAATTGATGCCAAACACTAAACAGTGCAATCTGCGTGTTGAAGTTTGACTGCGCATCGTCTTGTGTGGTAAGCATTGGCAACTGCGGCTCGGCGTCTGTGCAGCAGAGCGTTGTTATAGGCCAGCGTACTGTACGAGATGTAGTGGGACGTGTGGGCATTGGAGGAGAATAGGCTACAGTAGTGTGTAACCGAGGTGTGCTGCTGCTGCTGCTGCTGCTGCTGGAGAGGACCTGCACCGGGATACTGTGGACTCTGAGAGCCGCGGTCGGCGGTGATGAGGGCAGGAGGAAGAGGTGTATTCACACTCTCCGTCCTATTGAAGGGCTTGTAGGGATGTGAGAGCATGAGTGAGTCGTGAATGCAGGAGGTGCAGGGTGCGTACAGTCACAGCTACACTGAGGGGGTTCTACTGTATGTGAAGGGTCCAGCTGCAGAAGGTGCAGAGAGGATTGCGGAATTACAGTTTTGCGTGTTTGTGGAGAATCTGGTTGTAGATATATTGAGTCTGTACAGGTAGAGGCATTTCACACCTTTGACTGGATATCCAGTGGTGGAGGATAGAGCACAGCTCAGGCTGTGTCCTGTCAGAAGTCATCAACTTATAGAGAACGTTAATTAGTGTAAATTGAACAGAGGCTCTTATAGTGAGCTGGCTGGGTGGAGGAGGATAGGACAGGCTGTTTGCAAGTCTAGAGATTTAAAAAAAGGGGAACGTAAACATTTTCAGCTTTTTGTTTGGATTCAGACATCAGCCAACATCTGCAGGTCCTACAGATGTTGTCCTGTATTGTCCTGTAGTGTTTAGAGAGGCTGAATGTTGGAGATTGCTGCATTGGCTCTTGTTATATCCACATTGCTGTGCATTTGCTTCTAGGATATAGTAGTAAAAACATTTGTGCACCGGGTAAAGATTTATCATTTGACACCCAAATTCATGCATCGAGGATCAGATATTAGCTGCCAGTTAATACATGCACAAAAGCTGATTGCATTAGGCTACAATACTGTACCCTTGTATAATGAGATAGATATATGTATTATCTGATATTTATTATTTTACTTTCCACTGTGAAACTGCCAGGATGAGGGGGGCTATACAATACATAATTCTAAAGTTAAATTCTAATAACACTGCTTTAATCTAAGATAAAAACCAGTCAGTTATTGTAGTTTTAAACAAGTGAACATGTCTCGTTTCAGGAATGGGCTATGGAATGTGCTACAGCTTTGCAATGAGACGTCTGTGGGTCCGTGTCTTGCTTGTGAGCATCACCTGCCGTCTGAGGTAAGGAACTGACTCCTGTAACTTCGGACAACGTAGAGGCACATTTTGAATAATTCGCCTCTCTGTAAAGATAAATTGCTTCTGTGGCATTTGCTTGAATGTTTGGAATTAAATTAGACTGTTTTGAAAGTAAGTTAGGTTACATCACATTACCACTGGTTTTAAGAGTTTTTCTAATTTGTGTGCTTATTTGAAAATCCTCTCATATCCAGCCTCTCTCAGGATGTAACTGGAACTCCTAAAGAGGCCGAATTAAATGACAACATTACCATCTTCACACGCATCCTGGACGGACTGCTGGATGGTTATGACAACAGACTCCGCCCTGGACTGGGAGGTAAGCCCACTGGATATTCAAACCTCAGCACCTCTGCCATTTTGGTAATTAAAACAGTCACACATAAGCTAGGTGAGAACTGATTGTGTCATTATGAATGTCTTTTCTTATAGCTAACCTATACAGAAAGCTCTGCACTTTTGCATATAGATAAAAGATGCTCAGCCTCTGTATCGATAGCTCTGCATGAGAGATTACAGCCCGTCAGTGCACACAGAGAACAATGCACAGCACTGCAACATCTGTCTTCTGCTTATTCCACACAAGGGAAATGTGTCTGTATTCATGAGGTCTTTGACAAAGAGACACGATCAGCTGTTTACATCAACTCTAAGTATGATTTAATGGCTCTATGAAGACACACTGAAGCACACAGTGTGTTGGTGTGACCTTGAGAAAGCCATTCCTCCTGTCATTAAACAGCAGCTCCTTTGTTCTCAGTAGATGCCGGTCAAAGTCAGCAACGACTCAAAAGTTCTTATCATAAAGGAGAAATTCAAACATCTGGTCGATACAAGTAGAGAAATGTTTCTCTTCTACTGCTCTGTTATTGTAGTATTGCAGTGTTTTATGAAACATTGTAGTGTTAAGATCATTACAGACAATTACCATTAAATCATTATGTATCATGAACTCTATCCAGCTCTGTTCAGGTAACAATGTGGTACTTTAAGGTCACCATGTGCTGTATCACACCGGTCCTGAAGGTGTTTGGCCCGAGCTGCTCTGATGGATGTCAGGCCTGGTTTTGACATGCTGCATGCATCTGGAGTGTGCCACTGAGTAACATTACAGTGAAATCAGGTTTCTTTCTAAATACCTAACAACATATGTCTAATCATAAAGTTAGGCTGTTTAGTTGACTTAAAAACGTCCTCTATGTATTTCATGTATTGGGTAAAAAAAATCTCACGTTTTATTCGAAAAGTTTTTTGTTTTTTCCTTAAAACATAATGCCACTTTTTTTTTATATTACAACTAGGACTCTCCAAAGTCAGAACTTTTCCAACCTTACATACAAGGGCTTTAATTAAAATGTGAAGAATATTGACTCTGGTGTAGAACTTTACTGAAACTGTCACAATGCTGTAAGTTGCTCATTCTTGCTTTCTATAACTGCTTGTCCAGAGGCGACTGTTTCTTTCCAATGAGTGATTTTTTTGTTCTTAACCCGCCACTTATCCACACATTCAGCAATCTTTCTTATGGGTCTGAAGGAATGATAAGCATTCTGTAGAAAGCAAACAGTAATCCCTGTACGTCTGTACAATCTGCGATCAGTCTTGCTGAATTTTTCACACAGTTCAGTCTCAACGTGCAGAGTGCTTCTTCCTTTTTTATTATTCTCTTTTCATTTCTGTAATGTCACAGAAAGCAAAAACCTGCATTAGGCCTTCATACGTAGAACAGATGATGTTCTGAATAATAATGCAAAAAATATGAATGCATTGTAAAGGCTCACGACATTCTTTATCTATTCTCTTCTTACAGAAAAGGTGACAGAGATCAAAACCAACATCTTTGTCACAAGCTTCGGTCCAGTCTCTGACACTGAAATGGTAAGAAGCTCCTTTTATTAAGTCACGTTTTCAAACGTCTTGAAGTCATTTGAGATATTTTATCCAGTCATAATTTTATCACATAAAACAACCCATTCTGTATCAATGAATATGCTCCAAAATCCTATTGAAATATACTGAGTAGGGATGGGACAATATATGATATTATAGTGTATCACAATAAAAAACACTCAGATACGTGTATCATGGTGAATTTTCATTATCAGAATAATTGTAAATATCCTTGCAACTGACTTGATTATATTGATTTCCTGATTTATCTTGAATTGACACAAGGGGGAGCTGCCATCTTTCCAGTCGTATCAAAATCTTAAGCCTGTCACCACGGCTGAAGGCTCGGCTTGCACATTGTATCTCCTATGAAAAAAAAACACAATACAATTATGTTTAAAAAGGATGTCAACGGATTGTCTGACCTACCGTGTACATATTTCACCTTTATAAATTCCACCCACATTTAATCCAAATATCTGTCATATCTGATTCTACCTATCTGGCATCCTGTCATTTCATAATTATTAAAATTATCAGCATTAACAAAACCAAAAAAAACTAGTGTAGAACATTAAGGTGCAGTCAGTTGTGACATACTGTGTATATATAATATAGTATATACTGATTATATCCATAATAAGTTTTTTTCTCCTTAAATGAGGCTCCATGTATAGAAACAGCTGCAGTCCTCTACCTTTTATCACATTACCCCCCATATACATGTACAGTAGTAACGTAATGTGTGTATTTTTTTAACGTGTGAATTGTGTTTTTTTCTGTAGGAATACACTATTGATGTGTTCTTCCGTCAAAGCTGGAAAGATGAAAGACTTTGCTTTAAAGGCCCGATGGAGATGCTTCCCTTGAATAATCTTCTGGCCAGTAACATCTGGACTCCGGACACCTTCTTCCTCAATGGGAAGAAATCCATCGCTCATAATATGACTACCCCTAACAAGCTACTGCGGCTGAAAGATGATGGGACTCTGCTGTACACCATGAGGTGAGCTCTCCCATGGTTGACCTTTAACACTGCTTTGGACCGCAGTAGGATAAACATGTTCTCTTCAGTCTTACAACTAAAACACTGACTCACAAGAGCTGATGAGTGTGGTTTAGAAATGTTGTGTAATCCAATTACAAGTGGAGAGATGACTAAAACATCCATCAGCCTGTAATACTTGTTTGGTAATCATTTTTAAGACCCCTGCTGCTCTGATACAGCCCACACACTTATACTACATGTCTCAGTGGTGCATTGATGCATCATCATGTTGTCCTCACGCTGTAAACTGGAGGTCAGAGGAACTCGAAATGTTTGCTTTGACCCAACTCCTCCTCCTCCTCCTCCTCACGCTGTGATCCTCCACATCACAGAAACCTTTACTTTGACAGGAAAATAACCCATTCTGCTAATTCCTGCTCTGACACTCAATCACAGCTCCCATTGCACCAGTTTAAATTATGTGTAGACATGAGCTGCTATGGAAAGGCATAAAGTGCATCTTGATGTCACTTAAGAGGGTTTTTTTCGTCAACGCAGAATAATCCATTCATTATTAGTGGTTAGAATGGTTTATGGATGCTGTTTGTGAACAGTACGTTGCTGTAGAAGGAGACATTATATCCTAGATAGAAACATATAATTTCCACTTTCATGTCATCATGTTATCAGGACAATAAATCCCTCAAATCAAATAATAACAGAGGAAGTTGGTGGAAATGGACATGGGTGCATGTCGAAAAATAACTATTGATCCACTGAGTTTAAAATTGTTACAAATCTGCAGTGCATTTGCTAACAGTGCAAGCCATTAGAAATGGCTTCACGATGGCCCATTAATGCTTCTGTGTTCTGGGAACAAGGTTATTAGAGAAACATTTTATGCATGCATTACTCTCCTACATTGGTTGTTCACAGAACAAGTGGTGTGCAACACCCTAGCTAGCGTACCATGGAAATACCTCTCGGAAGAAAGGCAGAGTTTTGGTCCAGGCAGCGCCTTACAGTAATACACAATAGATCACAATCATTTCCTGTGAATCTAAAACACAAGAAGCACCTGTGTGAATTAACAATGATGGGAGCAATTTAGCTTTTTAGTTTCAGTTGGTAATTCATCTGATAGTCCACACTGTCCTTACTGGTCATCATGATTTATTAAGGAGCCAGTACCTCATATATTTTACTTCACTAATTAAAGCATTCAGCGCTGTCCATTTACTGTAAAGTCCCTTTGTGAATATTAGTCATGCTCTGAGCTATGCAAAGCTGCACTAACCTGGATGACCTGGATATTATCTTGTAGTCCTGCACTTTGATAATGACACACTTTATGTTAGTTATTAATTTCAAATAAACACTCATTTATAGAAGAAAACATTCTACTGTAATGCTGAGCTACTGACAAATGGACAGAAGCAGATCATTACAGCAGTCTTTGTTGTAACTAAAAGAAATTGTTTTGTCTGTAAAATATTGAAAATGCCTGTTAAAATTTTCCATAGGTCAAGGTGCCAAATTCAAATTGCTAGTTTTATCTGACCAACGGTCTAAAATCTAAAACTCATTCAGAAAAGCTGTAAATTCTCACAATTGAGGAGCTGGAGGCAGATAATCTTACCATTTAACATAAATTGTCATCGATAATCAAAATAAATAATTAAATAAATTGATTTCCTGTCCACTAATCAATTAATCTGATACTGTCTAATACTTGGTAATTGAGACGTGCAATATGTTGTTGAATAGGAAATGAAGATAAAGAAGAGAGGGACACTTGGTATGCAATACACCGACACACACAGTGCAATCTGTATTCCTCAGTTGAGCTTTGCATAATAGTCCACTAGAGAGTGATGTAGGACATAACACCGACCCACTGATTAGGCCAGTAAGCAAAGACTGACTATTATACAGTATAATATTGTTCTCTGTAATATACCACGCTCAGTATAATGCAATGAATTCCAGACTCATCAGTATTTCTATTCTCTTTCTATTTTCATCGTTTTATTCACTATTTACATATTGAGGCTGCTGTGTGTTGATGTGGGGCATATTCCCACTAAAACAGCTGAGACAGCAGATGGCCTTTAATATACTGAAACCCTCCTCTGCGGTCAATTTCATCTTATTTATGCATTGTATTAGTATAATATAGTATAAGGTATTGTGAGTGATGGTAGATGTACTCAGATCCTACTTTATAACCACTCTATAAAAATACTCTGTTACAACTTAAAGTCCTGCAGTCCAAATCCTACTTCAGTAAAAGTGGCAAAGTACAATTATTCTTATCAATAATGAAAGTACGTATTATGCAAAATTCTCCTATTCAAAATGGTATCTCATTATATTATATGACATTATTTGATTACCATTGTTTATTGACCAATTAAAAGCTATTTTAGCTACTTCAAACACACTACTGGGTAGCTTAAACCATTAACATGAAGTTTTCCCTATTGTTTATCTCATTCCACACTGTCCAACATTGTCATATACAGTATAATCTTGGTCTAACTCTTCGTTTAAGCTATAGGATGTTTACACTGTCACTGCACCATCCATCAAATAGAAATACTGCAGGTTTCTTGTGCATCACTGAACAATATTTGGCTGCACAGCTAGATTTCCTAATGACTGACACAGCAGCAGACTGGTGCTTGTTTATAAGGGCTTTTAATCTACAGCTATGCATCATATTTTCTGTTGAATCTTAATCTGCAAAGTCACTCTTAAAGGACCAGTGAGTAGGATTCAGTGGCATCTAGTGGTAAAGTTGCAGTTGGCAACCAACTAAATACAGCTCAGCCTTCTACGCATGTAGGAGAAACAATAGTGTCTGGGAAACGTGTGCCCTATATATAAATGTGAAATATAAATGTAGTAAAAAGTGTAATATTTCCCTCTGAATTGTAGTAGAATTTAAGTAGAAAGTAGCAGAAATTAACATTTTACAATTAACATGTCTGGTGGCATCAGAGGGTGTGTGTGTTGAAAAACTCTGATTTCCATGGCGATGACTGTAGCTCCAATTCTTGGCCAGCAGAGGGCAGCATTAGATAAGGCTGTGTGTCTGTCCCCTATGTGGACAGGTAGTGTTCATACATTAAACCCACTAGATGAGCTCATTTGCTTTGTGTTTTTTTTATGCTTTATTGCAGTTCAACAGACAGGTGGCAGCCTTACTCCACAAAACAATCCTCTCTTTCACAAATAATTCTCGAGCTCATTTTTGCACATACAGTTGCATCATTCTTCCTAGAGAGGTATCATCATGGGTCCCTCTCGTGGCTCAGTTTCTTATTGCTCTGTGCTGGGAAAATTACATTTTACTCTGCTGTTAACTATCTGAGACACACTAATGAAGACAGACTATGATTTTTATTGGTTAATGGCTGTATTCAAATGAAGCACAACCCAAATGAAGCAAATTATTTATAATAAGAGGACATGTTCATTTGTGAAAGGGTGATCATGATGATGATGTCTTATCTCATACAGTCAATTTGCTCTAACTTTGGATGCATGACCTCTTCTTTCAGGCTGACTATATCAGCAGAATGTCCCATGCAACTGGAGGATTTCCCAATGGACGCCCATGCTTGTCCCCTGAAATTTGGAAGCTGTGAGTAAACATGCCCGTAAGCAAATGCACACAGTGGGTAACAGCAGTTAAATAATGCAGGGAAAGGTAGAGTGTGAATGTTTCATGTCAGCAGCCCGGGCTTCAGTGACATATGAGCACTGAAAGTGTTGCCAAATCTTTCTAAAAATACGTGAGGTCACTTGTGGGAAAAGAAGAGTGTAGTTTTGACATGGCTTCAGTTTCAGTGTCTTTATCCATGCAGGGGATGTGAGGATGAATGTACCTGGGTGTTTTTGACAGCCCGTATCCCTCAGGTGCAAAGCTATTGTTGTGGTGGTGCAGGAGATACCCATGTAGACACTGACACACTGCTCCTGATTAAGCCATTAATCAACATGTCAGGGCTGCTCTCCTGCATCCTTCACTGCCTCAGCTACTTTAATGGGAAATATTTGAAACACACAGAGTGGAAACAGCTAGAGGCGCACACACACACACACACACACACACACACACACACACACACACACACACACCAAAACTACATTTACCAGAAAGGTAACCTTTAAAAATCTAATCCTACACCTTGCACATGCACAGCTAAACCACATTTGTGGCTTGTGTTCAGCCTTCCTCAAGACTCCTAAGCTAGTTAGGTTGCCTCACATAGCTCCAGTGGTACAAAAATATCTGGGGAGCTCCGTTCTTCTAAGCTACAGATTAACATTTGATGTCTTCCCTGGCACTGACGTATGGAGGTACATCTCCAGCCTTAACACTCACTGGGAGTAGGCTGCATGCCCGGTGTCATGACATTTAGCCACTCCCACACCTGCCCACTCCCACACCGGCTTTGCTTAACCTCAACCCCCAGCTGGGACTGTGGATGGGGATAATAATCAAAGCAACTAACTGACACTGCATTGGCTTGTGTACTTGGCGCTATCTGAAAACCTGCCCCGAGTTAATTAAACAAAGTTTAAATACAGGTCTTTACCTGGTCTCCTGTGGATGCCATCCAGGATTCCATGTAACTGAGATTATAGGAGGTGCTTGAGAGACTTAAATTCCCTTCAATTCAGTACAACTTTATTTATCCCTACAATTGTATACAGCTCAACTATGGCATTAGAAAATAATAAATAAAATAAAACTTATGACTTGCAATCAAATAATTTGTCAAATAGTGTAAAATATTGACAGTATTTTGTTTACGGTTCCCTCTGCTTCTCTCTCTAAGCTCAGACTTTTGCGCTGACTCTCGGCTTTGCGGTCTCTCTGCTGTTCTCTCTCGTTTGCGCTCCCTGATTATTTGTTTGCAGTTTTGGCACAAACCTCTCGGGTGGGCGGGCTTAGTTTTATTTTTGAAATTAGTTTTATGTTCTCTCAAATTCCTATTTTTGTTTGTTTCTTTTGGCACAAATCTAATTCCATACTCAACAAATACACACACAATTTCAATTTGTGCATAAAAGAAATGAATATATTTCCAAAAAGGTGTTCACGCTTGGCTGAGGTGGAAATGTTGGTGTTAGTAAAAATTGTGATGAAAACAGACTTTACAAATTACGATGGAAATCATGGATGGAAAGTTATTTGCATATTCTTTTTAAGATTTTCTGGAAACAGTATCCAACAAAACGATAAGATGCTAACTTAAGAATAGGAAGTATTTTGTTGACCATTCAATTATTTTTAAAACCAACTGTAATGTCAAAGTATAAGTACAGCCTATGCGAGGTTATAAGCTCTAAAAGTTACCGTGGCGCAGTATATCCTGTTTTCTCCAACTCCATTAACCCTAGCTAATCCTTTGACCTCATGGACAGCACTCACCCATGAGCTCAAGGCTTTCAAAGCGACAGTAGACCCGTCCTTTGCTCTCGTGTTAATCACCTCTCATGGACTCAGCTCTACTATCATCGGTCTCGTTCCCCGCCTCACGGTTCTTATACTGTAGATGGAAACAGTCTGTGACAGTCTACAGTTGTATCTTTGGCTCAACAGAAAGGAAGTGTATGATGGGTAGAGAGTGTTTGAATGACGTAAATGCACTGACATGACATTAAAAATGTTATTTGCTGCTGTTTGCTGTGTTGATATGAAGCGAACCACATACAGTCCTGTAGCTATGTCTGAGTAATAGTCCTCTGTATTTGTTTTAATATCGGGCAGTCGGTCTTTGGTTGACAAAAAAACGTACAGGTGGTGAAGTGTCATTTTGGTGCACAGGACATTCCCATTTACTCCAAAGTTTCTGTCATCTGTGTTTTCAGTTGTCTGTCTCTGCTTTGTTATTATGCTAATGTTGGCACCATTTAATCTTTCTAAACCTCTTCACTGGGGTTTTCTGTATAGTTTTCTCTCTTTGCCCTAGCCACTTTCGCATTTATTTGCTTTCTGAACGAGTTACCTAAAAACACCTATTCCATCCTCATATCTGTCTGCTACAGCCAGGAGACATTAGCTTAGCCTAGCATAACAACTTGAATTAGCAGGAAACACACAGCGAGCCTGGCTTCATCTAAAGGTTAAAAAAAACCTGCTTGTCTGCACTTGTTAAGCTCACTTATTAAGACTTATTAAGAAACTAAACAGAAAAAACCCAACATTTTGTGATTTTACGTTTTATATTTTTTGGCCAGGTAGCTGTTTCCCCCTACTTCGAGTCTTTATGCTAAGCTAAATTAACCAGCTCTTGTCTGTAGCTTCGTTTTTAATAGACAAATATGGAAACCAAGAAGAAAAGAAGATAAATAATTCAAAATGTCAAACTATAATACTGAACACACTGACAATACAGCTGAGGTCGGAAGAAAAATGACAGCCTTAGAATAAACTAAACAACAGCGTACAGTGAGATGAGAAAGAGACAAAAAGAATTGAGTTGGTGAAGCTGGTAAACTATTATAAAGCATACTGTTATCTTTTCTGCTCTCTTATTGAAATTTAAAACTACCCTTTAGTGAACACACATTTTTAACTATTATTTATGTAAACACACAAATAATTTCTCTTTCACCCTTTTTTTATTAAATAATAATCAATTTTATTGAATTTTAGGATATACTAACTATGAAGTGTGTAGATGGATGTATTTCTACTACTGTAATCTAAAAAGACAAACACGGTCCTCTGTAGCCTATTGGTATATTTGTACGACTTGTAAGCCTTTCTGTGACTGCTCTGGCCTTAATTATACCGTGTCAGATCACAGTAAAATGCTCCTTTTGTTGTTGTTTTCTTGCAGCCCTTCTTATTCACAGCTGTAATAATAGCAATTTTTTTCTCATTTTCAGACAGTCTCTTCTTATTTTAGATCACATCCTGGTGCTCATTAAAGTGTGTCCCATGCTGAAATCATGCAGACAAACCACTGTCCATGAAGCTGTATTCTTACATTTCTGTCAGCCCATTTGTCTCTTTACGCTTAACGATGGACAGAAAACAATGGCGGGAATGTCAGACTTATTTCCAACAGCTGGATGAAAGGCAGCTTTAACTATTCACTGAGAAGTGTTGTGGAATAGCCTGTGGGGATATGCTGGGAATTACCAAAAGGGTGCACAGCAGGAGAAAGACTTGAAATAAGTCAGGAACCTGGGAAAAAGCTGTGTGTGTGGAAATTCACAAAGTGCCCACATTGACTTTGGCTTGTAAAGCAATTTGTTCTGAGTGCCACTAAAACAAAGGATCAGAGATTTTGACCCATTCTCTCGTTCTCTATAAAAACCACTATACTCACTATATACTGTATATAGGTATAGACATTACTGCATCCACATCTCCAGGTACAGTTAAGTATGTAATTTCTCTTCAGAGTGACTTGTGACAATCATTATGCTATCTATACTCCTCTACATCCTGAACATTACAAGGGTGCCTGTCAACTAAAGGTCACATATGATGATAGAGTTCTTTGTATTAGAATTATAGTATTTAACCACAGCTGCTATGGACTGGTAGGTATTTCATATCAGGGATTCTCCCTAAATGTCAGTGCCTTAACATAATAGGAACAGCATACAGTAATTCCACTGTACACACACACAACAACTCTGGATGGTAAATTTACTCTAACCCTAATTTAAGGAAGAATTAATGTTTAATAGCTCTCTAAGCTGGAGGTTGGCACAGGCCAACCAATGCATGCACCTGCTTGCAAACTTGAAAGAGCTGTGCATGAGGTTTGAGACAGTAAACAATATATTTAAACATATTTTGGGGAAGAATATGACATTTTTTAATACTGAGCATGTCATTGTGTGTTGTATTCAGTATCACTAGTCCTTTACGTTGATTTCATTTCTGAAAATACAATGCAGAAACGTAGCACTATACTCTGTCTCATGCATTGTATTATGTAGTAACCACAAACATTGGAAATTGAGCATTACATATCATATGTGACACAGAATGTGAGTGTGAGTATGCCTGTGTGACATCTGTGTTAGAAATGATGGTGTATCGGTCTATGGACACAGTGCTGCAAACTGAACTGTCTGTCTTAAAACAAGTCAGTTGCATATATGATCACTGAAACATTTTCTTTGCGTTACTAGTCTTACACCGCACCTCAGAACAGTAACACTGCCCAGAAGAGATTTACATTTAAATATACCTTAAAGATACTTTAAAGCAAAGGTATACCAGACTCAATGAAAACAATATAAAACAAATATAATCAAATGATGATACACAGACAAATGAATCAATCTGCATTAACAGTGCAATTTACTTTAATTTATTTGTTCTTATCAATGGAGCTACTGTATTAAAAGAATAGTATCTCATTTTGGGAAGTTCGGAGGTAACAATATCTACCTACTAGCACCTTTTAAAACCGATTAACGTGTTACATCTTGTTTTTTACACCAAAGTGTAAAAATTACAGTTATTGGTTTACAGGGGATCATGTGCTGGACTAGAGGACATGGTCTGGCTGGAAGCAGTGACTACCTGGAGTCGTGTCATCAGTGTGAGGTTGCCAGGCAACCAGCAGCAACCTATAACAGACTGGCTTTAATAAATGTTGGGTGTCTTCTTCAACTTAACAATAAACAGATGATGAATTCACAGTAGGACAGACAGTCTTGTCTCATGTTATTCAACAATATGTTAAACTCTTGTAATTAGGACCTTTCTTTATTGCTGTAATTAAAGTAATTGATTCCTTTATTTAATTTTAGATTGACAATCCAAAATCAATCAAAAAACACAAAACGTTGCAGCTTCTCCAAAGATCAGCAGCAACACATTTAACCAATCTATGTTCTGGTTCAAAAGTTTATATTTTGAATATGTTACTTTTAAAATGAATGGCTAGCCCATTACATAATGCATATTTCATCTTCCTGTATACAATGTGTAGCCTTGATCTACAGACAGAGCGCTCTAGACTCTTCAGGTACCAACAATATTATTGGGAGCAGAGGAAGGTTAATGGCCACTGATATATATTTTTGTACTTTGCTCATAAAATGTTAAAGTAATGTCTGTTTGTAAATTAAAATAAGAAAAATTCAACTGCTCACATAACCCAGTTCTACAAAGACTTTGTTTGAGACAATGCAGTGTCTTTGAGACAATAATCCACAGACTGGTTGACTGGGGTCAATCTAAATTGCTGTGAAGTCTTCTAACACCACAGTTGCTGGATTAGTGCAATATTGTTAGATTAGACACTGCACAGCAGAACGATGGAGAGGCACACACACACACACACACACACACACACACACACACACACACACACACACACACACAGATTTAGTGCATCTACAGTATGTGTGCGGTTTGTACTACAGTACAGTATGATGGAGTGCTTTTGCATTTTGCAGGGCTTGCTCGTTTTCTAAATGAACTTGCATGAGCGACAGCCTGTGTGTATTCAGAAATGTGTGTTTGAAATGCATCAGCAGATGAAAGAGCCAAACACAATCTAAGGCTTACTACCAGCTGTGCCTCACACACAGCAGCAAACAAGCCACTAAAATACTAATTCCGAAGGCAAAAGGTCAAACCTCCGTGAGCGAACCCAGAATCATTCACAAGGCAATCTCTCAAACTGTGCCAACATTCACACATAGCATCGCACCATTAGTAACATCTGCGTATTGTGATAAAACTGATTACATCAGATCCAAACACAAGCTCTTAACAGTGACACCAAGTTAATCTCTGTGTAATGAAGCAAAGTGGGTGAAAGGTCAAGTGTTGTATCACAGCCATGCCACATTTCTTAGCTAGTAACATCTTAAAGCCGAGGAACAGTGTAACATCAACATGTAAACAGTTTACAGTATTGGACTGATGTTTCTGAAGAACCATAAGCCAATTCTGCTACTACAGAGTTTTCTGCAATGTGTATACGAGGTCAGTGTGACTGTCTTCATACTGGATATACTGTATTGACAGCACTGAAAAAACAGGGCTAAAAGGATATGGCTGGTTTCATTTATGTTAAATTCAATGAAAAAAAAAGTGAAGTTATCCCTTTAGCAAATATCGGTGTATCCAAAACCTGCTTATTTCTGCCTTAGAAACAATTCTGGGACAATATGTTTGATCTCTGCATCAGCTCTGCGTGGTCACTGAGCATCTAGTTTTTCTAGTTTACATTTTTCTACTTTGATGAGCCGACAGGAAATAAGTGACTTGTCAAATTTAGAAGTACTACAGGATGTCAAAAATAACAGCTATGTGAGTTCATCTGCTTAACAGTGAGACGATCAAAGTTCACAGGGAGGTGGCAAATATGACAGAGCACCTGCACCTGAAAACTAACATGACTGAAAACTCTTACATAATCGTATTCACGTAATATGTCATTTATCAATCTATAGAGAACATGAAAATAACATACAGAACATGCTCCTTACAGACTGATGGGGAGTTACCCTTATTCACTTTCATGCTATTTGGGAAATTATTTTGTTTTGATCCACAACATCATATTACATTCAACTGGCAGAAGCCTTTATCCAAAGTGACTTTATTTTTTACCCCACACACATAAGGAGCAATTTGGGGCTCAGTATCTTCCTGAAGGATTCTTCATCATGTAGACAGGAGGGCCCGGGAACTGAACCAAAACCTAACAATTAATGGCCAGCCCACACTGCCACCTGAGCTACTGTTGCCCATATATCCCTTATCTGTTCTTTGTTTCTTTATCTATTTCTGGTTTGGGAATAATTCAAGATCTTGATTACAATTGTCATTATTAGTGTCCATATTTCATTATGTACAAATCAGTGATCTAGTATCCCAATAACCCTTGCTTTTAAAATATTTTCCACAGATGTTTCCCAGAGGTCTAGAATGAATCTCTACCGTCAAACAGCCTCATTCACCTTAAAAACAGAAGATATTGTATATAGATATATGTAATAGGGGTAAAAGATAATATCGAAAAATATCTTATCGTGGTAATTTGTTTTGTGATATTGTATCAATATCAACAGTATCAGTTTTTGTGTTTAAACCCCCAACTACTAGATAATAGTGTTATATACATAAACTATGGGTTAGGGTTTGCCAGGTTTGGTTAGGGCTATGATATTGGATGGTACAGGGACTGTGATATACTGATCCAAAATTAACTTATTTTACTCAGATTTCATGCATATGGTTCTGTGTTCTTTATTACTATTACTATAGACAGTTTACCTAAAATTTTTTTATTTTTCTAATATCACAATACTGGTATATAACCTTGCTAGTATTGCAATGTAAGTTAATATATTGAATCGTGAAACGTATTACATTGCCAGATTTTTGCCAATACACAGCCCTAATATATATCTCCCCTGGAATGAAATGTGGTATATAAATAAAGGTTTGCTTTCTTTCTCTAAAATGTCAGAAAATAGGGAAAAAGTGAGTCGTATTCAGTTTAGCATCATATATGACAAAGAAAAGCATCAAATGCTCACATTTGAGATGCTGGAACCAGTGAATGTTTGGTATTTTTGCTTTAAACTGATCATCTAAGCACTGAATATACAGTTGAAACAAAGTCGCACACTGGTAACTGCTTTTCAAGAATTCATTTTTAACAGATGCAGAAATCCAGTTTGTACATCTCTCTGTCTTGTCCCCATAGATGCGTATCCAGTCTCAGAGGTGGTTTACACGTGGACTCAGGGAGCAGCCAAGTCAGTGGTTGTGGCAGAGGAAGGCTCTCGGCTCAATCAGTATCACCTGATTGATCAGACTGCAGGAACAGAGGACATCTATACCAGCCGAGGTACAGTGAAGCCAGAGTAAACTCCCACCTGACCCGGACAACCAGGCTTCGGATTAATCACACACACGACCATCTACACCTTAGCTAGAATTCATGTGGTTTAATCCCTCTGTTATCTTATATCACTCAGTCATTTCCTCCCTTACAGCACCAGTCATACAGTAGCTTCAGGCAGGAGCAGGGATGTTAAGCCCCCGCTTCAACCCTATTATTCAGCTCTGTGTTATTACAGTGTGTGCCATCCAAAGATGTTGTGAGAAGAATTTTTTTTTCAAATCAAGCTGGATAAAGACAATGAATGAATCACAAGGATTTGAGAATGCCTCCCACACATAGCCAGCTGTCTCTGGGGCAGCCAGAGAAGAGAAAAGGGGGGGCAAAAAAAATCACTTATCCGTGGTCTGAGCCATTGGGTCTGTAGGGTTAATCCGTATGCAGGCCCATCAGTTGTGCTTTTACCGAGTGACGTCACAGCTCAGGGATTGGCTGCTGCAGCGGAGACACGTTGGGGTGGTGGGGCGAGCGGCATCTGCTTAATTCTGTTATGTAAAGAAGTATGATAATACATTTCTGCTGCTTGTTGCTGGTGAGTTTTTTACGAGGGGGGGCGTTCCTATAGCTGTAATGTATACAGAGCTAGTTGCTTTATCCTGTATCTGCTGGGGGAAGATGCTGTCCACGCTGGATAATGCATGAGAACTAAACAGTTACCATTAAGTATGCCACTGTGCTTTTTAAGCAGCAGGAGAAATCCAACATTGCTACTGGTGAAAGACGCAGAGTCGAAACGCTCAACAAGTTCGGATTAAAACACAGGTTGCTATATTTCTCTGTGTCAGTATGTACCCTCCCCGCACTGCTCAGACACACAGAGCCAGCATGGCCTTAATTAGCACTGCTAATCTGAGGTACAAACCCTCTTTAAGAAGCCAAGAATAGCTCAGCAAAGGGCTAACACTGGGCACAGGTGACCTTTGACCTGACAGGTTAAGCTGAAGATGATGAAAATATAGACACAGGAATTGAATTGATGACCTTTTAATTTCATTACATTACACACACGTTGGTGCTTTCTGATCAAAATAGAAAGCAGCAATGCTCAACAGATGGTTACAATTTGAACTTACCAGTTGACCAACATAGCTGCGTTGTTCTCCGCTATGAATGGCAGTTCCCCACAGACACTCCAAAAACCAAACAGTAAAATCCACCACAACCGCATTTTCACGCCTTGGAGATTTCCATCCACTTCCAAGCCCAGCAGGCGGTCAGATCAGAGTGGGATTCGCCCAGTTGTGCCAGCACAGAGCCGGGCTGCTGGCCAGTAGACCTCGGAGTGAAGGCAACACAGGTGCGCTTTTCATTAAGGACATGATGCTTGTCGCCGCATTGCATGGACCATCCAAACTTTCCTCACGTCCCTCTCAACCCTCCTCTGCGTCAGTCATCTGTGCACCTGCTTGTAATCACCGCTGATCCAGGTCTGGTTTAGTGTTCGAGATCAGGCAGGCAAGGATGTATGTCCCCAATCAAGAGTGGCCTGGCCTGACTGAATGGGACGGACTGTCTGTTGCACACACACACACACACACACACACACACACACACACACACACACAGTCACACACATAGAAAGAGGGAGAGAAAGAGACAGAGGGAGAGTGAGAGAGATATACAGGATGCAGATTGTGACAAGGGATTAGTGAGACAGAAAAATCCGATTTTGCCAGGAGAAAGCAGCAGTCATCTGTGGATTTTCTATAGTTTATCAGACTCCATGGCTCGACAGGATTTTTGAGGGGGAAAAAAATCCTTCAAATGCAATCTTCAGTTGATTAACAGGATATGATGATTTCGTCACCAACCTGTTTTTCAATAATTTAGCTCACACTTTTATATTTAGAGGAGTAGTCTGGCCTGGAGGTTGTCCAGTAAAGTTTACTTGTATAGCCCTTAATCACAGCCTCCAAGGACTACACTCACCCACTAACTGAAGGAAATGAAAACAACACATCCCAGACAAAGATTTTTAATGACAGCAAGCACAGAAACATAATGAAAAAAGGAGTAACTTTTAAAAGGGTCTCAGAGAGAGGAATCCCCTTCCAACAGGTCAGAAATAAGAAAGGAACATAAACACCAAATAGATTACCTTCATCAGTGTCATTGTGGCACTTCCACCATCTACCACTGGGGTACTTACAAGCAACAATCCCAACCTACAGTATAAGATGTGGTGTTACTCAATCTTTAAATGGGCCAATGGAAAGCAGTGACTATAGTAAAGCAGAGAGATGTACAGTGATCTTATGGGTGAAAACTATATTATTATTATTATTATTATTATTCTCTTGGCAAAGAATATATTGTCACATAGAACTTTGATAAAAAAAAATTAAAAAAATCCTGATCAAATGCCAAGACATGGATGCAGATGGTCAGTGATAGTAGTGATAGTAGTCGACTATGAAACAATTAAAACAATGAAAAGACCAAAACCCAAAGAGCGTTCGTCCATCTCTTAGTACTTTCCAATTCCCCTTACCTGTCTGCGTAATTTCCTAAAAAAACTGGGCAGTGAGTAAATGGTGCATTGGTTAGGTACTACTATAGCACAGTAGTCAATATCCAAATCCAACTCAAATCTTCAACTGTTGAGGCTCGAGACAGGTAGTGTTGGGCAATTTTTCCGACCAGCCACAGTCAGTCCAACAATTGGCCAGAAAAATACAACCATACACCTTCTAAATTTGGTTTGGATGTTTTTGTACCAAATCATATACCCCACTTCTACATCTTATACCATGTCCTTCAGTATTACTTGGTGCTGTCTTCTTCGTTATCAGAGTAGGGATTACATTTTCAGAAAACTAAATTGTCAACGCATTAAGCATATTCTCCTCTTTTTTTCTTATGTTTACAGGTCAGTACACCGTGATGATGGCACACTTTTACCTGAAAAGGAAGATCGGCTACTTTGTCATCCAGACCTACATGCCTTGCTTCATGACTGTAATCCTGTCACAGGTTTCCTTTTGGCTCAACCGGGAGTCCGTCCCAGCTCGGACCGTCTTTGGTGAGTTTGGAACACATGGACACACCAGCCAGTAAAATAACCTGGTGTTGCTGTTCCATGATTCATCTATAATGCTCTGAAATGTGTCCTCCATACAATATACGACTTAATCTGTTGGAATGAAAACGTCTCGTCAGTAAAAGTGACTTGGTTTTCTCCACCACCAGGTGTGACCACTGTACTCACTATGACCACTCTCAGCATCAGTGCTCGAAACTCACTGCCTAAAGTGGCTTACGCTACTGCCATGGACTGGTTCATCGCAGTGTGCTATGCTTTCGTCTTCTCAGCCCTCATTGAGTTTGCCACAGTTAACTACTTCACCAAGAGGAGCTGGGCCTGGGATGGAAAAAAGGCGATGGAGGCGCAACAGCCCAAGGTATGTGCTGTTTGTGTGTTTATCCTTGTTTATAGCACATTGTGGAGACCCAGACTTAGCAGCTGACTCACATTCTGAGGCCCAAACTATTCTGGGTGCTGAAAAGCTGAACTCCACAAGTTTAACAGCTAAGACTTGGTTGTATGGTTAAGGTTAGCAGCATTGGAGGTTAGAGAATGAATGTAATCAAGGCAGGGTCCCCATAACGATTATAAGTTTGTCTGTTTGTGATATCAGAATCAGAATCAGAAATACTTTATTGATCACCAGGGGGAAATTTGTTTCATTACAGTGGCTCAAGGTGCTCACAATATATGTTTTGCTGTATTTTTCACCCCAGTTCAGAAGCTGCGTTTCAAATTATCACCCTGAAGTTGATGTTGGTTGTGAATGCAGATTGTTGTGTTTCTATTTGGCAAACTAATGTCCATCAGCTGGTTGTTGGAGGATACCTAAGAAAGGGCACAAACTTACAAAGCTGTATTTGGAGAAGATGCTGCCAGTTGTAGTCTTAATTAGGGCATAATGGTGTACTGGGAAGTGTCGGATTGACTTTGTGTCCTCTAGTATTAATTTACTGTTTGAAAATATTAACAAAAATAAAAGTAAAATTTCACAATCCTGTGTTAGACATATGACAAATGTAAGATTTCTTTTAGCTAATTTTAGGTCCTCACCAACTCTTACATTTTGTGCTGAGCAGGCCGTGTACAGTGGACTTATCTGAGCTTTTTCCTGAAAACAATGGCCTGCTACACCAACGAGTGAACCAAAACAGTCAAGTTAAAGTTTTAGCCATTAAATCAAAACAATGTCTAGAAAGATCCTGAAACGCTCTGTAGAACTGAGGGAACTGCAGAGTTGAGAGATAATTTACTGTCGGTTTGTCACTACAAGCAACACCTTTCACATTAAACATAGTCATTTGAGCCATTGTTTTTATGAAAATGTTCATCAGTGCAGCTTTAACAGGGGAAATAATGGAAGAAACTTTTGTCAGTCACAAAAGAGAAAACCCCTTTCAAGTACTAATGGTCAGTGCTTGTGACAGGAAGGCCTGTGCTCAGTTCTTTGTAAAGATTCACCCAGAATTGGACTCACATCCACAGCCATTTTCACACTCACATAGACAACAGAAAATAACCCATTTATCTCCTGAGATCTGCTGTTATCAATAAGTTCCAAGAATCACAGCTGAACTCTGTGATCCAGGACTCACATTTCTACTGCTACAGCACAAGTTATCCCTGGAGTTGAGGGCACGAGAGTAACTCCTCCAATATAGGTAATTTCCAAAAAAATAGAAAACTATCATAGAAAACAGCTGATGTTACAGGCAATGCTGCTGTTTTCTAGGATGTTACATTAGTAGTAACCTCACATACTCTCAATACCAGTTCGAAATAACTTTCCCTTCCTTTTCTTTTCTACTCTATTCATTCTCTCTTCTCTTCTCTGCATTACTTCCTTATAGAAGAGTGGTGTGGAAAAAGTCCATGTCACACATGATAATAAAGCAAGAAATGAATTAGAATCAAAGATGTAGAAGTTCAGAAACGGTGGATCAATATATTCTCAGTTCAGTCTGCCAGTGTTGTGGCACAGTGCCACTTCATTATTTCCCAAGGACATTGATCCTCACTTTCCACCTGCACTGAGCATATTTTATTGTTCTCTTTGTGTTTTTGTGTTTTTGTGTATGTGAGCCTGTGTGTATGTGAGCTTGTGTTATTAAGTACCTGTTTTATTATGTTCGATGAATGTGCGGCACCTGTTTTGGTCAGAATTGCGTGTAGGCTCAATCAATGCTTTTCTCTCTCTTCACAGAAGAAGGACCCTTTGGCTCTGTCTAAAAAGCCAAACAACACCTGTTCGGCCGGTATGAATTATACAACCAACCTTACAAAGGACACATCCATCTCTACCATCTCTAATAGCACGGCTGTACAGCTCAAACCCTCTGAAACCAAGGCCCCAGACCCCAAAAAGACTTACAACAGCGTGAGCAAGATTGACAAGATGTCCAGGATAGTGTTCCCGGTGCTGTTTGGGACCTTCAACCTGGTGTACTGGGCCACGTATCTCAATAGGGAACCAGTGATCAAAGGAGCTGTGTAAGCTCAACGATCAGATTCATTCATCCTCCTGAAAACCACTTCACGATTCATAACTGGAACGCAATCAAAATCAATGCCAAGCACTTAGTCCTAGTATCATAGATATGTTTTTTTTTAGGTCACTGGATTACATTGCATGTCTATTGCTTCAGGAAAATGTTGCCATGTTTGCCTTGAGTTTGTACATGTAAGATATACAACTTTTTCTTAAAGACAGTTTCATTCATCTCATTTTAGAACTCCAGTTACTGATTAGTTTCTGCCAAATTCTTTAATTTAAAATTTTTTAGCATTTGGCATTTATATTTTCTTCTTGAGTCTACAGTAGATGATGGTACAGCAAGGCCAAATGCTATGCAAAACAACATTTTTACTGTTATTACTCAAAAGCGGCTTTTACCTTTATAACTCTTACTTTGTACAAATGGGCTGGAGGTCCAGGTATGCGAGGCTGGGCCCAGGCCCATGGAACTTTGCTTCCTTGTTATAAGCAGATGAATAGCCATGCTAAATGTGTTGCCTTCAGAGTGTGATAACTCATCATGAATGCACTGAAATCTCCTGCAATTACATTTTCAGAAGCCATTTTTCCAACTTTCATTAAATAATTGACTCTTTTTGTTCATTTTTTGCTACTTTTTTCTCAATTTTGAATGGCCAGTTTTCCATAAATGGGGACAGATTTCAAGCTAAAGTGATAGTGGCAGCTTCTGTTTCCAGGTCCCCATGTTGAGAATCCTGTATGTATGTGTGTACGTAGTTTAAGGAACATGTATATATGCCCTGCTTTTAGAAAACCACCACTAAGCCAGTAAGGTTAGCTTCTATGTTATGCATATACAGCAACACAGTGTTACTCTATCTAGCGCTTCATTGACTGGATATTGAGAAATGAGTAGAATAGCTTGAGCTTTAGCAATTTTGACAGAATATACAATGCTTTTTTAAAACATTTTGTTTTTTAGATCAGTTTGTTGTTTCTATAAGCTTCGACGATACCTTGCAAATATTCTTGATAAATATTTGGATGCTTTAAGCAAGATCACTTTTTTGTCATAATTTAGAGTAACTGCTGTAGTTAAGGGAGTGACTTGAGCTCATTGAGTTATCAGGCTAATCTAAGAGACAGAAAGTCACCATGACCAAGTCATTGCATTATGACCATTATTATTTTACAATCATGATTTGTTATGTTTATTGTTTCAGGCGATTTGTCATTAAATGTTATCTTAAAGGAATAGTTTGACATTTTGCAAAATCTAAATATTTACATTCTTGTTGTAAGTTCGATGAGAAGATTGATTTTACGCTTATGTCTGTACAGTAAATATGAAGCTACCACCAGCAACTGGTTAGCGTAGCTTAGCACAAAGACTGGAAACAGGTAATTCTATTAAAGGAATATTGGGAAATATACTTATTTGCTTCTTTGACAAGGCTTAGATAAGAAGATTGATACCACTCTCTTGTCTAACACTAGATATGGAAGTACAGACAGAAGACAGTTAGCTTAGGTTAGCATAAAGACTGAAAACAGGAAAACAACTAGCCTGCCTCTCAAAAGGAAAGTGATGATAGCGTACTTTACTATCTTTTTTATAAAAAAAAGTCTTGTTTAATTTAAAAGTAGTTTACTCTCAGATTTTATCCGAATAGTGCACAAGGTGAAATGTCACTCTCTGCCACAATGTTTTGATTATGGTTTACTTTGTCAGGTTATTCATTAATATTATCCGTGATTTCATGGTAGCTTTTCTAAAGAACTGCGATGCATGTTACAAAGTTTGTAGGCATTTTTTTTGCAATGAAATTGCTGGAAAAAACTACATTCCATTTGTATAATTCATTCAAAATCAAGCAAGTCGCTGCACCCAGCCAAGAAAAGGTCCAGCAGATAACCCTCCATAAGACCCACTACTCATTTTTACATTACAGTTTTTGAACAGTTTTGACATCCAAGGCTTAGGGTTAGTGTTAGTCATTAATTACAGTAGTGAGCTTTAGAGGTGCTAGGCGGTAGATTTCTGACCTTCAGACAGTCAGGATAGCTGTTTCCCTCTGCTTCCAGTCTTTATGCTATGCTTAGCTATAGCTTACTGTCTCCTGGCAGAAATAGCTTCATATTTACTGTACAGACATGGGAGTGGCCTGAATCTTCTCTCCCCTTTAGACCAGCTTTTTACATGATACTGTGGAGGCTGCATAAACTACACTCACTTCAGCAGAGTAGGTTTTTGCAGTCTTCACAGTTCTCCCATAAAGGAACACAGAATGTGAGCCTGTTGTCTGTTTGGGTAAAGGATTAAAATATGAATGTGATGTACTCATGTGACTTTATGCCTTCTGTGTAGCCTGTCACTATTTAGTAAGTTTATTATGGAGCACACCAGTTGTATTGTATTATTACATTTAAGTGAATTAAGGTACAAGCTGTTCTTTAAATGCAAATATCTGAAGCAATAAATAATGCTAGATACTGACTTCTGTTTATGGTTATAGGTGATCATCTGATGTTCATTTTGTTGTCTTTTTATCCAGAGTTAAACCTTTTGGTAATAGTCTTTTTCTATATGTGGCTATACTCTATTATTAATTTTAGCTGACCCCTTCCCTCTTCGGAAGCACAGTGCTCTCTGACGATGTTTAATGTATTTATTTGTATTTATTTACTTTCTTTTATTTAAATTGTGTTTTTTTTGTAAAAGACATGTGCAGGTGACCAATGTAAGGATCTGGGCCACTCTTTTTTTTTTTCTTAATTGTTATGCATACCTGATTCCAAATAAAGCTTCACTGACTCCATCTATTTGCTGTTATTGGTCAAAATGCTCACTGACAAAGAAATACCTTTATCATGTCAGTTATGGCATGACATTTATGACATGAGTGTCATTTTGTGTCACATCAAAGATTATCACGTTTCATTGGTTTTCTCTGCTGTGAGATTCCATGTGAATACACACAGAAAGACACAGTGTGATTCCATCGATATTATGAACCTACAGTATATATTTAGATACATTTGGTCAGTCGATGTGGTAAAACGCTGCCTTAATCTTGCTTGATGGAACAACGGTCCTCACGTGCTGTTTCTCCTTTGATTATACACATGCACATCCAGATCATGCAGCCTCTACAGTTGGTCAACTGGTAAATCCAACTTGGGGGTCTCTGTGGCGGTAACATCTGGCTCACATCTGTTTGTCAAGGATTTAGCTCCATTTAAGTTGCTTTTTCCATTCAGCAGGCCCATACTCTACACAAATTAAGCTGTCACTGATGCCACAGAATGACATCAATCATAGTATGTAGCTTGAGAAGCAAAGACGGGGCTGGTGAAGAGGACCGTCCTCTCTCATCCACCACCACAGCGCTATCAAATCATACTCTACGCTATCAGAATGTTACTTGCTGACCTTTATACACATATTTTACATGCAGCATACTGATTCAGCCAAAGAACATGAGCCTTATTTTTCTTGATGCTGTAAATGAAATGCTAAAACAAAAGTAATAAATACATGCACATACAGTGTTATACATATTGTATATATTGCTTTAAAACTGATTTGTCTTTAAAGCTACTATGTGTAGAATTTGTGTGATTATCATAATACAATCAAATAAGTTGGTGCAGCTCTTTATTCTCAATTACCAAAGGTTAGATCATTGCTATCTACACTCACAGTCATATTTTTTTTTCATCCGACACATTGTGGCTTTAACAATTTTAGACCTTTAACGTGATTCAACAGAATGAGACTTTCTAATGAGACTAATGGAATTCCACCTTCTACTAATCTGCTCCAATATTTGTTAACCTCAATTCAACATCAATTTTTGCAGAATGGCATGTTAATGGGCTAAGCTAATCTTTATGTTGTAAAGCATTACACACTTCAACACACCGTCATCAATTGCATGCCATAATTACATTTAAAGTAATAGTTTGACCTTATGGAAGTAAGCTTGCGGTCTCTATGGTAAATATGAAGCTACCATCAGCAGTAGCTTAGCGTGGCACAAAGACTGGAAACAGGAGGAAACAGTTAGCCTATCTCTGCCCAAAAGCTCCAAAATTCACCTCCCAGCACTTCTACAGCTCACTAATTAACACGTCATACCTTATATTTTAATCTGTACAAAAAACTGCCAGAAAATGCCAGGCAAGTAGCTGACACACAGTTCAGACTGCTAAAGCCTCATTTTAGCTTCAGCTGAACTTTCGAAAGAATTTTTGCACGGGAAGAAGACAGTGGGTCAGTCATATTGAAATGGCCTCTTACAGTGAACAAAAAGGATTTCAATGTATTTAGAGCAGAAGAATGTGAAGTCATCTTTTAAATGCATCTAGCGGTGTAGTTGCAGATTGCAACCTACTCGCTTCACCCTTCCTGTCCAAGCGTGTGGGAGAAACTATTGCGGCTGCAAACAGCCCTACCTAGAGCCAGTGTTTGGTTTGGTTTTTTGTGTATCCCAGGGCTGGATGAATCTGCTTCATAAAAATACAGAGGCAAGTAAAAAAGGTGAGAGACTGTAAGGAAATAACAGAAAAAAAGCGGAGTTTCTGCTGATGTGAGAGTTATCAATCTTCTCACCTAACTCTCGGCAAGAAAGCGACAGACAAGAACGTTTTTTGTGGAGCAAACAGGTATACAGACTGTGGCTCAGGGCCAGCGGAAGCACTGGGAGAGTTTTCAGAGTGAAAAACCTGTGAGGCATGTATAGGCAATTCTAATATAAGGCCCTATTCATTACTAGTACTATCTTCTGTATGACACGTCTGCAAAACTGCTTAGTCAGTAGGGATGAGAGGACACTCACTGTACCTTATGTTCAGACATATACTGCAGCTACTTTATCAGCATACACAATATCTGTAGCTCACTGATGTAATTTGATTTCTGAATAGCTGAGTGAGCACTCTGCAGAGTTAAGGTAGATTCAAGTGTGAATCTGTAGAGGCACAAACGACTGTATTCTATCATGTGAAGTTACATCACATTTTTGTATGACACGGACCCTTCACACAAATCAGTGTCATTTGCAAAGAAAGCCTAGAAAATATTGCACCATTACCGGAGTGAATTCTAAATGTTTTTAAGAAACATTAGGACACCTTGATTCAGACCTTGCAGTTGCATGCAGGTAATAAAAAGCCTTTTTGAATTAATATAGCACCTTTAAGCCACAAAGTGCCATAACAAGGATGAAAACACAAATTTGACAGCAAAGTGATAAAACAGGAAAGAAATATAAAAATACTAAATAAAAGTAAGCATCATAAAAGGGCGGTCAAAAACAAGAAAGGGCATAACACAAAAACAAGACTATAAAAAGTGTTTAAAGAAGTCATTTTAAAGTTAAAGCAAATCATTCAGCCTGATCTTCTTCAGCATATTGTATCAAAGTCAAGAAGTTCTAATGGCAAAGCACAGTTATCTGGTTTTTAATGTTCTGAAACTTCACGTAAAGGAAAAAATACGCAGCTTTGTTGGATGTTAACCAATTTGATTGAAAAAAGGCTTTAAAGAGAGATTTTACACCAATATTTTACATTCATCAAATTCTGACATAGTCTGTGTGACCTTAATCAAAACGACACAATCTTCTGTTCCCTTCCCTGTCAATGCACACTATGTAGGAATCTTAATTTGGTGTTTGGATGAATGCTCTCACAATGTCATGTATACAGAGATTGCAACAACATTAAAAAGTGGAAATTATTGATGAGACATGTACTTCTGTATGCATGTGCTCTGATGCATATAAGGAGGCTATTTGAAAGGTCAGTGGAAAACTTGCAGTTCAAACTAATAGCTGTAACTTTCTATACATTTTAAAAGATACATTACAACAATGTTACCATGTTTCCGAACATGGTGCCGTTGTTCTTTCCATAAAAGAACACTATTTAGTTCCATCTCAGTTTTCACAACAGTCTCAATTTGCAAAACTCTTAATAAAAACTTCTAGCTCCTAGACATGCTTTCAGACAAAATGCAAACACCTATATAAGATAAAGTAATGTATCATGCAGTAAATATATCACAGCATGACAACTTAGTACTGTTTATGTCTGTCAATTAAATTTAATCATTGTTACATAAGATATAGAAATAGAAATAACAAATGTGCATATTATGCTGAAAAAGAATGGCTTTCGACAGTATTCATTTTATGGACATGTTGTATTGCTGTACATGCAGATAATGAAGCCTAGAGCCGGACTTTATACTGCAGTCAGTCCAACATCCACACTAACTGTGGCTGTGGCTGTCCTTCCCTCTGTCAGTTTATTTTTATGTATCAGGCATCAAACTTTTGTCCTTTTATTTAAGACACGAGTGTTAGATATTTTCTGCAGTAACACTGTAACGCTTGAAATCACAACTCTAACAGACATTTACCACACATACATAGCACCATTCTGAAACGAAGTGAGTTATGCTGCACTGCTGCTCACCTGAGTGAAACTGTAACGTCAAAACCTGAGCTTGCAAACATGTTCTGACTGTGATCTGTACACTTCGTAAATATAATAGTGTCTTTATTTTGAGGACTGAACATGGGATTTATACGCTGTTATGGAACTGTTCCTTCATGCATTATAATGAACAAAAATAATAAATAATAAATAAATAATACATTATTTTTTTTATGCCATATGCTGTCTTTCTGTGGTCACATATGTTTTGATTAAAATACATACATTACACATAATGAGAGCTGTATAACTGTTTTCATAGGTATGTTTTCATTGTGTATAATCACCTAAATACAGAAATGGTTGTGCTTTTGTTACCTTAGAATGAGCTGTTTTTATCTACAGAGGCTGCAGGTTATGCCAAAGGAATAGGCAATAAAAAATTAATCTCTTCCTATGAGACCACTGAGGCTGAATTTCTTGCAGCAGGCAGCTCGTGAACACCAAGCAATAAGGTTCCAGTTGATTCATGAGGATGATGTATGCTCTTATCATGTTTATATGAGCTCCTCCTGCTGCTCTGGTTCCCTCCCTCTGTGCTGTTGAACGCCACGGTTCACTCTCTCTAGTGTCTGCATTTCTCTTTTTAACCAGCAGAGGATGACAGCAGTCAGCTGCACAGCACTGCAGACAGGATCGATGTCAGAGGATCATCACACTGTCTGTTAAACAACATACTGACCCTGCTGCCTGTAGCCGTGTACAGCAATGCAAGTGTCTTGGTGCAACTGTGGCTGTGCACCTGTTCCCCAGGAGGAAGAGGTTCGTGTATTTGTCAGGTTGAAAGACAATCTGCTATTTACTTTAATGCTGTGAAGACAATGCCTCACATTATTTGGTACCTTCAAAACCAAATGAAACTATCTTTATGAGATACTGTGGTATCTGGCTGTCATCGAGGGAATATTTCATTTCTACCCTTCAAGAATCTTCTGTATGTGTCCGAGGAAAAACACAAGTGGCCGACAGAGGGAGGAATTGTTGTGTTTGGTCTATGTGCACAAGTGCTTGACTGAGGCTCAGCCACATCCATTTAAAATGATAGCCAAGGCGGACCAGGGGCCAGTCACATTATTCTCTGAAGGTATCCTGTGAGTGACCTGTTAGAAAGACTGTTGAGAGGGAACCACTGCACACTTCCTAATACTGACAGAAGGAACCCTCATACACAGCATGTGCTCATTTGTATTATTACAATCTCTACTTCTTTGTCTCTGGGGAAAGTAAGTAAAACTTATATTTAAAGGGGAACACCACATATTGTACACATTAATACACATATACACATTCAGGGTAGCAGAGAGCTTTCTTAAGTTTGAAAAAAATAACCCTGGGGATGTCACAGTGATGTCATCGGGGCTATATTGGCTTGGGTTTTTAGCAGAAAGCCTTTTATACTGGAGGGGATTGAAAGCAGTGGGATAGATCCAACTCATAATATATACAGTTGCATTATGGGAAATGCAGGATTCTTTTTTCTTGGACTAATAATGTCTGAAAGTCAGGATATCTCAGCCTCTGCTGCACAAACTCTGACTGTTTTGGGGCTTTTCTGCCTGTCCCCAAACCTTTAGGAAAGTGCAACACTAAATCGCTGGAGTTACCCTTTAAGTGTTAAACCTCTGCCACCGGTTGTGCGCACCGATGCTACTGAACTCTACAGAAGACAGACAATACGGCATGAAGGCAGCAGGACAAGGGCCCTCAATTACAATTACAAACACTGCTACAAAGGTTGCAGGCCAATTAATAGAATTTGGCAGCTATAAAAGAGCTCTTGCAGCACTTTGATATGCAAGCTTTCAAATGAATATGTGGCAACTAACAAGAGCTCCAAAGAGGTCACCTGTGCTCAATCTGCAGCTGCATCACCAAAAATAAAAAATATAAAAAAATGAATCAATAAAAAAATACACAAAATTTAAAAAACAATAAGAAAAAGATGAAAATAAAATAAATAAAAAAGACTGGATAATTATAATTGTACTATAATTATAGTATAATATAAAATAAAAACGGGGATAATTTATATTATGGGCACAGGTTTATTTACTTTAAAGTTAAAACTAATGCTCTATCTGCTAGTATAATAGGCTATATAATTAAAATATTGTTTCAAAGTATTCCGATCCAGTCCAGTGACAAAGGCACGTTTTATTTCTATTTGGCGCATATCCCAGATAATTAGGAAGGAAAAAAGAAAGAGAGGAAAAGCGCATCAAAAAGTATTGTTACGCAGGTGTAACAGTTCCTGTGAGAAGTACAAAAAGTAGTCCTGAAGAAAGTGGAGTGACGCAGACCCATGGAGGAGTTTGGGATGAATTAGGGGCTTTCAGAGGACGCATTCGGAGTGTGCGCACCTGCGTACGACCAGCAGTGTCCGCAATCGGCAACCTTACAAGTGAGAAGCTGCTCCTCCGTCTCAAACCGCCTGTGGGGAAGGATTTCAAAGCGCCTGATTCTAACAATGACTGAAATTTCTCTTGGATTACAAACTATGAGGAGCTTTTCCCTCGCGTTGTCCTCTGAGCAGCTGTAACCATCGTGTCCAGACACCGATACGCACCGTCCTCTGACACGTCTCTACTTGTGGTCACCCTTCGAGGAAACATGTCACCCAAATTACTGGCTTATGTCTTACTTCTGTCTGTCCTTCAGAACTGGTAAGTGGCGTGCTTTTGTTTTAAACTTCTCCAAAAAAAAAAAAAAAAAAAAAAAAAAAGATGTGTTGGGTTCGGGGATGTTGAATAAACTTAATGATGTCTGTCACTTGTTTCCTAAAGAAAACTTTATTACCTCCAAGTTTCTCTGAAGGACTCCCAATGACACCAATGTAATGTTTGCATGCAGTCTGCAGAATACACTGCATGCCATCGCCTGTTTCCAACCACCTTTCATTCTACCTGTACAGCTCTCTAACAGTCGAGTATGAAGAAGACTACGAGGATGTCACTGTGAACCAAATGCTGGCTCCTAAATCACAAGACACCGACACCACGGAAATACTCAACAATTTACTGAAAGAATATGACAAGAAACTGCGACCGGATATTGGAGGTAATTTGCTCTTTTGCTTTGGTAACAGAGATTGTAAAATATCATCTTCACCTAACTAGTTGCAGACTGAAAATCCAATCCACAACACCTAAAGCTGCAGATCCACTTGGTGTTATAATCTGATGAATGAGCAGTTACCTGCTGCCTGTCTTAAGAGGCACTTGTATTTAAAGCAGAACGAATATAAACCTTCATAATGCATCAAGATGTCTTATAGCAGCAGTCAGATGGCACTAAATATATAAATAAGTATGCAAGGTCAGGCATCACAGCTGCTTGTAAATGCTCTATAGATTATACTCTGTATACTTCTCCAAGTGAGATGAGAAGGTGACAGCACTGTTGATTTTTGTAGCGTGGTTGTGACACCTCTATGACACCACTATGACACCACTATGACACCTCTATGACAGCCCATTGTCTGTCTCAAGTAAAGTCAGAGAGTTTGTCTATAACCAGTTTAACCCAGGGATGTCATTGGAGCCAGTCAGTAGTCAACATCAGTAGTGTTTGTTAGTAATGAATACATGCCATCATCATTTTGTATATATATATACATTCATACAAAACAGTAAAACTGTGAACACTATTTATTAATGTATTAAACTTACAACTATCATTCATTTATCAAGATGGCTAATATAGTAATTAAAATATGGTGCTCTTTAGCTGTTGTGTTGTTATCAGAGCATCCACAACTAATGTTAGCTAGCTAGTGTTAGTGTAAATGTTATATAAAACAGCTATCGATTTAGTCATTTGTTTTTTGAAAAATAGGTTACGCTCACATGGGTCACTGGTCAGTGGTAATGTTAATGACAAGTGAGGTGTGCAGACCACAATAAATCTAAATGTATACCTGAGATAAGGATGAATGGTTGAATACCATTCATGATGTATACGGGTACTTTTTGACCCAGTTTTTTAAAGTTGTGGTAATGATAAAAAAAATTACTTTTACAAGGTAAAAAAATCCATAGAGCATAGCAAAAACACATTTTAAGGAATACCTGGAATATGAGATGCTGAAACACTTTGTCTCACAAATATTAGTCATTGTTAGGTAAAACATTTTTATGAGGTTGTGAGACACTGAAACATCATTATATCATTGGTTGTTTGCTTCGAGCAAGGAGAAAAGTTTCTCAGCTGTTTGTTACTTACTGACCTACAGCAACAAAGGTCAAGATGCAACTCATCAGCATATCCTCATGAATATAAATTACATTTGGAGGTTGAAACTTTGTGTGCAGGAGGGAGATATGAGGAGTTTTATAATTCACAGACTCGTTGCCTGTTGCATTTGCATTTCTCATGTCATATACAGTATGAGAGCACCTGAGAATATGTTGTTTGTTGGTCATGTAAAGCCAGTGGTCACTTTCTCTGCTCGGCTCTGCTTCTGTTTCTTCTCTGGATGTCTTTGGTGTCAGGATTAAGAATAGTATGATAATCAAATCATATCCTGCCACAAGGTTTAGATTAGTTATCATGGATGCATGGTAGCGATGGATTTAAAAATATTTCTGTGACTTGTTCCTTGTAAGGTAGAAGCACAAACTGGTTGCAGACCACAGTTACCACAGCTCAGAGTGGAGCTGGAGATCAGGTTTTCAGCTACCTGAGAAACTGAATTATAACAGTACACATATGAGCACGCGCCTGTAAGAGGATGGTGACATTGAGGAATTCACCACCCTGTTGTGTTATAAAGTGACAGCCTTCAAGAACTGTTTCAGAGGTGGTTGTTACCTCAGCTTCAGCATGTGACCATGACTCTTCCTCGCTGATGCAGTTTCTCAGAAATTGGCTAGCACTCCAATTCTGGGATACTACGCTGCCGGGTTTGCTGTGTGTCAGTCAGTTAGTAGTAATATGATTCATGTGCAGCTTGTGAGCACGGTATTAAAGCAAGACTTTGACATACTGTAGGTCCCTCTAAAAGGAATGGCCGCCGATCAAATTGTACAAATTGTACTAAATGGTCAGGGCCAGGAAGTTATTAGCTTACAAAACATAAAGACTGGAAGCAGAAATGTAACAATACAAGGACAAATTGCAATTTTTGTCTTTATATTTCTGTTTTTGTACGCATTCAACAAAAGATATATAACATGAATTAGTGAGTCTTAGAGGTGCTGGTAGTAGCTGTTTCTCACTATTTTTACTTAGTAAAGTTAAGCTAATCACCTGCTGGCTCTAGCACACAGACATGAAGAGTGGTATCAATCTTTTCATCTAACTCTCGGCAAGAAAGGGAATAAGTGTACTACCAATGATTTATTGTTAATAATATTAAATATCTGTCAATGTTTGAAACAATCTTCTCCTGATGACGATTTAATACATTTCATCATAAACTATCACAACGGTGAGCATTTGACTCTAAGTTACCATTAAATTTTATATTATCATTCTTCACACAAATTTATATTACTTTATCCAGAGGATCACAGTCATACAAAAATATGTTTTATCTCACCACTGATGTTTTCAAAGCAGCGCAGTCTGCTGGTTGTTGTTTAAAAAAGTTATCCAACACCTGAGAATGTTTGAAAAGAAATCTATCCATAATTTCCTAATTTAACAAACTAATTCAGCTTACTGAATTTACACTGCAAAAAATAACGGGAAAGGTGAGCTCACGTAGTGACATGGTGATGTGACATGTGACAGAGAAGCTTCCCCATTGATCTCAGGACAGTTACAGCCTAATTAGCCTCCACTAAACACCAATTTGTGGGTGCTGAATGGCGGATCTGCTCCTGAACTCAGATCAGTGTATGTGATTGCCTGCTCACAGCACTATAACCACATGATGTAGCTTGTGAAGTGACTTATTCTTTCAGTGATCATTTTGTGGAAGCTAAGGTTCTCCTAGTCTCTTAATAGCGCCACCTATGGCATCAGGTTATCCTGTAGGTCAGTCCTGTTAGTTTTTAGTGAACAGTCTTTTGCATCTGTATTGCTTGAATGCAAGGGCAGTTGTTGTATGTATACTACATCTGTTACTATGGATACCAAGCCAGGTAAGCTCTGTTGTTTTGGCCTGCCAGAAAAGGACAGAAAATAACAAATATTATTACACCGGATGTCACCGAGGGGCACACTGAGCTGTGGAAGAGGCTGTTTGATGCTGTCCGGAGAGTTGATCCCTCTCTTAAATCCTAAGTGCCACTTTCTCTGTGTCACTTTCTCCGTGTGTCACTTTGACTCCAATAAATAACCCCGACCTCTCACTCTCCTCCCCCATGTCTTACAGCTGCGTTTTGTTTTTCTTCTACTCGCCCTGTGGCCAGTTGCTGTTATGTAGCTCACTCAGTGCTCTAACTCCTCTGTGTCTTGTAACACGGAAACGCTTTTGGAAACAACTCAATCTTACCTATAGAGGTTTATTGAGTAGAGCTGTTCTGGAGCTTTCAATGATATAACATGATCAGTAGATGGGGGCAACAGGAACATGGTGACATATTAAAACATTTAAAATGGCTAATGTGTTTATTCACACATCCAGCAGATATGCATCATTATCATTCATTTGGAGTATTGTTTCTGGCCATCTGATGAATGTCAAACCAATACTCATTCTCTGTTAGCTCTGTTTTCGGTCTCTACCAACTCCCAAGAAAAATGGCTGCTAAAGGCTCTGCTAACTACAGTGGGTGTACAGGGTTTTTTTAGAGCTTTTTAAAGGAAAACAGCTGCCAGATGTGACCAAAAACGAGACTATGAGAGCTGTGTGAGTGAACCAAAACAACGAACAATGAACTGAAACTCATACAGGTCCTTAAAGCCGAAGGGAGCTGCAGATTCGGGTGATAATTCTCTGTAGGTTCATCACGAAGAGCTACCTCTTTCATATTGTCATTTTATACATTGTTATTATAAAAATATACACATCAACATATAATATAACATCAGCATTCATTTGTAATCATGATGATGATGTAATATTCTCCTTTTAGCTCTTTTTAGGTGTCCATAAAATCCTAAAGGAAATATCTGGTCCTACAGCTGCTAAATGCTCCACTATGTTCACCAGCTAGTTGCTAACTTTGTCTGTCCGCTGTTTGGTGCTGAGCAGTAGTGTTATACTGGGTTTCCAATACTTTCTCTTTTTTTTTTTTGCTGAAAACAGCAGCCCATTGCCAGGGACCAGTGAGCAGAGAGTGGTGAGAGTGACGCACAAAATTTCCAAGGCAAAAAAAGCTAAGAGATGCTTTAAAACTTCACAGAGACGAGGGGAACGGCAGAGTTGGGTGACAGTTCTCTGTGGGTTTGTCACTATGTGCGAACACTTTTACAAATGCAGGGGCAGATCTATATAAATATTCATGGGGTGAAGACTTTAAGGTGTGGAAGGAATATATGCTGATTTTATCACAGACAATCATATATATCAATATTTGCTTGAAAAAGCCCCAAAATAAAAATATTTTATCTTAAAAAGTACATTATTGTGGCACGTTAGTAAAGCATTAAATAGAAATATTTAAAGGTGGCATTAGAAATCAATAAATTGTTAAAATTTATTTTTTAATTGAACTTCAGCCTGTCACTTATTCTAAAATGTGTCCATGACAGATCATTAAATCAATTTCAGTTTTTTAACATGCTATTTTTAAAATTAATCTAAATTAATGTGTTAAATTTGACATTATTTGACACAAAGCTGGGGTGGCCAGGCCTTTTTTAGCCGTGGCTCCCACCCCAAGCCACCCCTCTAGATCCGCTGCATGTAGTGAGGTGAATTATTGTTCATATAAGAAGTAGTGGATAATATTATGTATCCACTAATGTATGGAACTGCCAGCGAGTCAGCTATCCAATTTGTGATGCCAGTCATGTTAAAAATATCAAACTTGGCTGCAGTGATGTGTTTGAGTTCTAACTTTATAATGAATATTTTTTTTAATTTTAACACACTGTATAAGCTGGGAAATATCAATCATAGAAACTGCATAATGTGTTTATAGCTGCACATATTACAGAAATAAATT